TATGTTAACCACTTTACCTCTCTGCAACATATCCAGATGCTCCAATAAGATATCACCCACGAACGGAGGCGTCCTAGTAAGGAAAGCGTCCTTGGAAAGACTGCACATCTCACTGCCAGTCATCTTAAACTTAGCTGGATTGACCCCTTCCAGGCTAAACTCTCTGACTGCCCAGTCCAGCCATTGAGAGACGTTAATTTCACTCCACAAACAAGGGTCTAAAAAAATTGAAAACCAAAAACGAACCAGAATTACAATTATAATTCTAAACCATTACTTGACATGCCTGTGTGTGTGTGTCTTTTTATAACTAACTGGCTAACTGCTGGACCGATTGTCACCAAACCCGGCTTGTACCGTTAGGACCCCTCCCCCAGAGAGTAACAAGAGGTGTTCGGATCTCAACCCCAGTTACGTCATAGATATAAAAATGAAAACTAGTTAACGCAGCTCAAAACACACTGGAAATTCATCGCACTGACGTCTAAAAAATCAAACTGAAGGTTGTCTATTATTACGATGTTCCAGGTCCAGTATTACCCGTGAAAATTCGGGTTTCGATACCCGTGGTGGGCAGAGCACACGTAGCTCGTTGTTTTGATTTGTGCTTAATAACAAGGAAACGTACACCACACTTGCCCCTCTCAGTGGCTCAGCGGTAAATCTCACAGCTTTAAAACGCTAAAATTCGGGTTTCGATACCTGCGGTGGGCAGAGCACACATAGTTCATTGTGTTGATTTGTGCTTTATAACAAACAAAGAAACTTCTCAATAGATATTTCACAAGACTCTCCATGCTCTCAGCTTTCAAGACAACGTTTAAGCACAGAAGTGCATTTGTCTTTCAAGGGGAATAGGGAATTGTCAGGGATTTCAGTTTCTTCTCTTACAAAATCTGAATTTGTGACAAGTTTTTGTAATTGAAAAAAAAGCTACTCGTAAGGAGGATCAAACAGGTTGGTAAAGGACATTAAAATAAACTTAACACTATTAACACGTGGATTTAATCTCATCAAGGGCAGAAACCGTTGTCCCCTCATTAAAATAAGCCTGACACTATTAACAAGTGGATCTGATCTCATCAAGGGTAAAAACGTTGTTCCCTCATTCAAATAACCCTGACACTATTGACACGTGGATTTGATCTCATCAAGGGTAAACAGCCGTTGTCCCCTGATGAAGACAGTTACATAGATATTTTTAATTATGCAACACCTCAGAAAATGTTTAATCTTTGAATTAAAGGTTCGAAATGTCATTTCGCCGTACGCATGTATAAATAATTCTAGATGTAATTTAAGGGCTACTCGGGGGACATGTTCCCCAAATTCTTTTAGGCTTGGGATTATCTCCCTCTCATTTTAACAACAACAGCATTAAGTATAAGGGTTTTTTCCCACATAGTGTATAGCACCCATTATCCTTCCCCCCACACACACAAACTCTGGAAACTAACGTTTGCTTTAGCACAGGTGCGTAACGAGCACTACAGAGTGAGGGGGGTTATCCCTCCCCCCCACAAACTCTGGAAACTAACGTTTGCTTTAGCACAGGTGCGTAGCGAGCACTACAGAGTGAGGGGGGTTATCCCTCCCCCCCACAAACTCCGGAAACTAACGTTTGCTTTAGCACAGGTGCGTAACGAGCACTACAGAGTGAGGGGGGTTATCCCTCCCCCACACACAAACTCTGGAAATTAACGTTTGCTTTAGCACAGGTGCGTAGCGAGCACTACAGAGTGAGGGGGGGGGGATATTTATCACATAAATGTGGACCTTTTGTTCTACACAAATAATTTAAGTGCTTTACATGAAAGTCAAATGGTTATTTAAACACAATAAGAAGATAGTAGACCTTTTAAACTTTCTACAATATTGGCGTCGCCGTTCGACCCTTCGACCCCATCCCCTGGGGTACGTCCCATATTGGGCAAATAACGTTTTAATCAGCTCTAAGGACTTTTAGCGCTAAAAATTGGGTTTCGATACTCGCGGTGGGCAGAGCTCAAAAAGCCCATTGTGCAACTTTGCGCTTAACAACAGAGGAACAAACTTTGGTTAAATTAATCCCCAGGCTCTTTTATAAGACGAAGAAGTTTCCGCTGTTTAGAAATTTGAAATATTAAAGAATAATAATATTATTAATTTTCTAAACTTCTATATAAGGTAGCATTTTACATGAATACCTTTGGGTATGTGTAATTTCTGTGTTTCTCGTTCCCAGTTGCTAAAGCTAGCAGTTAGAGCTTGGGTCATCTTCTGATTGGTTATTGGGGTTAGGGGTGGGACTTGGACCGGAAAATCTAGAAAAAAAAAAAAACAGAAAAATTAAACACAAAACACCTGATAATTAATTATAAATATTTACACAAGCGGTACAGTTTATTTTAAACATAAAATACCTGAGATTCAATTAACAATATTCACACAACCGGTACAGTTTATTTTAAACATAAAATACCCGAGGTTCAATTAACAATATTCACAAAACCGGGACAGTTAATTGTAACACAAAACAACCAAAAATAACTTAATATTCACAAAACCGGTATAGTTAATTGTAAACACAAAACAACCAAAAATTAATTGTAAACACAAAACAACCAAAAATTAATTGTAAACACAAAACAACCAAAAATTAATTGTAAACACAAAACAACCAAAAATAACTTAACAATATTCACAAAACCGGGACAGTTCATTGTAAACACAAAACAACCAAAAATAACTTAACAATATTCACAAAACCGGGACAGTCTATTTTAAAAACGAGGTTAACATAATGTAAGAAACAGAGGGAACATCTGATCATTTCTGTAGTAAAGTTTGGGGGAAACTTCTAAATCTCAAACTAATTGTAAAATAAGTTGTGGAACAAAACTAACGACAGTCATCAGACGGACAATGCAATCACGTTGCTCGACTTTGGTTTAAAAAAAATCGTTATTATTATTATTTTTTATTTTTTACTACTACAGAAAAATAACAGGACTGGCTTTCTGCAGGGTAAGGACCTAGATTAAGTGAAACCAGTTCTTCAATTGCCCGAAATATGTGCATAAACGTAAAGACCTTTTCCCGAAAATCTATAATCACCTGCTGCTTGATAATTTCTTTTCAAATGTCAATTATTTCGATAAAAAAACAAACAGCCTAATAAGTAAATACTTCATATCGTACTGTATTCAATGTGTATTGCTAATGCCGACTCCAGCTCTTTAGTAAAAGCAGCATTAGAACAAAGTAAGCCGCCCATAACAACAAATATGACCACAGAAAAGGCATGTTTGTAGAAAGTTGTCAGGCTGTTAAACAAATGACTAAAATGTGTGTGTATGTGTTACAAACACGTACGATACGTAAATATTGGTTTTTCACTGAAAAGTTCAAAGACCTCCAAAACAAAGGTCCCTTGTTAACCCCTATCGACAAATAAATGAAACGACACGAATTAATTGCAATTCATTCGGTTACCTAGTAACATAGCAACGAATAACGAGAACAACAAGAAGATTTTCTGCCGTTAACGGTTATCTTCATTTTGTAAACACGTGTAAAAATTATAGCAAAATTATTAAAATTTCCAGAATGTTCCAATATCTCTTTATTAATAAAAGAATAACCGATTTTAATAACATCATTCAGATCAACTAAGCCTTATTTAAGGTGTCAAAATGGAGTGTCGCTTCATGTGAGAATAATAAAGAAGAAAGTTAAAGGCTGCCATTTTTTTTATAGAAAACAATCTCATGAAACGAATACTTAAACATTAATATAAGGTAAGCATAACTTAATGACATTTATGTTACATCGATAATAATAGTTGCATGGGTGTAGATACTTATTGTATAAATATTACCTGAAATACGGATGGTGTTTTGTATGATTTCCCTCAGAAGGTTAACCCTAAATTCTCTACTTGTAAATTAAAATGATCTCACATACAAGAATATTGTAGAAATAATTAGAAATGTTTCTTTTAAAGCTGAATACTAATGTGTGCAATGCTTAGAGAAAACCGAATATGTCCTTGTGATTAGTGTGCTACGTTTCAGACCGATGGGAACAAGGTTCGAGCCGCAATGACGCTAAACATGCTTCACGTTTTCACTTGTGAGAACGTTTTAAAATTCACAATCAATATTTGTATTCGGTTTAAAAATTCGGACAAAGCCCTTTTGGTCAGTGATTAGGGACGGCTATACGTAAATCGTAGGAGGTCTCTGAACCTGGCCGTTTACCCCACGTGCGTGTAAAGTACCGTTCACTCTGATAATACTATGAGCATTAGGCTTAGCTACAAAACTTTAAAACAAATCTCTCTTATACTTCGAGATTTTCAAATTATATTAAAGTTAGATGGAAGTATTCATATTATCTTCACAGAGAGAAAAATACCTCAAAAACTAAATAATATTACTCGTAAAATTTTTTTCTTAAACTTATGAAGACAAAAACTAACCAATGCTGGGGGTTCAGATCTGAAACAATATGAACTTTCCAAGAGTTTATGCGCACAGTCACAAAACTTTTTTTTTATCATTTTAAGGCTGCTGTTTAGACCTAACATGCGGCGTGGGTTGGCCTTTGTGGTAGAGCTCTTGATTTCGCAGTTGACGAGCCAGTTTCGAATCCGCATTGTACCACAAAAAATATTCATTGCATTTTAAACTGTTGGTGCGTTATAAGAGTGACAGTCAATCCCTTAGGTCGTTGGTTCGAACCCCCGTCCCACCAAACACGATCGCCCTTTCAGCCGTGGGAGCATTTATAATGTGATGGTCAATCCCACTATTCGTTGGTAAAAGAGTAGTCCAAGAGTTGGCGGCAGGTGGTGATGATTAGCTGCCTTCCCTCCAGTCTTTCGCCGTTAATTTAAAGACGGCTAGCGCAGATAAGCCTCGTGTAGCTTTGCGCGAAATTAAAAAACAAAACAATCCGTCTACTGATTAGTTCAGAAATAGGGACGGCGTTAGGTAGTCTTAATAACCTTCCCATACAAGTACAAATACTCACTAACAGAAATAGGGACGGCGTTAGGTAGTCTTAGTAACCTTCCCATACAAGTACAAATACTCACTAACAGAAATAGGGACGGCGTTAGATAGTCATAGTAACCTTCCCATACAAGTACAAATACTCATTAATATAACTAAAACAACGATCGGTGACAAGTTAAGTATTTTTCGGTGATTCCTTTTGTTAATTTTTATAAAACATTTTATCTACCGTGCCGCAGCCCGGCACGTTAACTACTCAATGATTAGTTAATAGAGTTTTTTTGTTTTACACTGTTTTGTATCGTTTCAACAAAATATTACTAGAATCTATGTTTTATAGTTCCTGTGTTCATACTGTACTATGTAGAGCCATTTATTACTTAAGGCATGTTAATGGGTTGATATAATTAACAAATTCAACCCATAAAAGTACGGAAGTAGGTTTTTAACTCTAATTTAGAGCTGGTCTATCACACGGACTTAATTTAAATCGAAGTGAACATATCTTCCCATTCAATTAAAGATTTTGAACTCAGAATCATGTAAAAGTTTGTCATATTTGAACTCAGAATCATATTAAGGTTTGTCATATTTGAGCTCAGAATCATATTAAGGTTTGTCATATTTGAACTCAGAATCATATAAAGGTTTGCCATATTTGAACTCAGAATCATATAAAGGTTTGCCATCTTTGAACTCAGAATCATATAAAGGTTTGCCATATTTGAACTCAGAATCATATAAAGGTTTGCCATATTTGAACTCAGAATCATATAAAGGTTTGTCATATTTGAACTCAGAATCATATAAAGGTTTGCCATATTTGAACTCAGAATCATATAAAGGTTTGTCATATTTGAACTCAGAATCATATAAAGGTTTGTCATATTTTAACTCAGAATCATATAAAGGTTTGCCATATTTGAACTCAGAATCATATAAAGGTTTGCCGTATTTGAACTCAGAATCATATAAAGGTTTGCCGTATTTGAACTCAGAATCATATAAAGGTTTGCCGTATTTGAACTCAGAATCATATAAAGGTTTGCCGTATTTTAACTCAGAATCATATAAAGGTTTGCCATATTTGAACTCAGAATCATATAAAGGTTTGCCACATTTGAACTCAGAATCATATAAAGGTTTGCCATATTTCTTAGTTTACAAGTTGTAATTCACCGTATAGTGTTTTAGTGCTATGTTTTTGAGTCACAACAATACGAGTGCAACTCTCCATACAGTGTTTTAATGCTATGTTTTTGAGTCACAACAATACGAGTGCAACTCTCCATACAGAGTTTTAGTGCTATGTTTTTGAGTCACAACAATACGAGTGCAACTCTCCATACAGAGTTTTAGTGCTATGTTTTTGAGTCACAACAATACGGGTGCAACTCTCCATACAGTGTTTTAGTGCTATGTTTTGAGTCACAACAATACGAGTGCAACTCTCCATACAGTGTTT